GATCACAAATGCAGACATGGTTTTATGTTTACGTGGCGCAATACGCAACGCAAAGCGTAAAAAGACAGTATAAGTCATTATAATCAGTAATTATGTCCCCACTGGATGCAACAAATGCCTCAATTGTAATGGGTTTTATTGGTTTTGTCTCGTCGCGCCGGGACACATGGAAACTCAATATGGTAAGGGGCGTAACATTTCCTTCATACACTTGAGGTATTTGGCCAATCACAACACATTGGATAGCTGGCCAATCAAAGCACACCTCGCTTTTCAGACCGATGAGCTTTTCTAAAAATCAACGCGTTTCAGAAAGGCGGGGCACAGAGGATAAACAATAATGTACAGTATGTGGAAAATAATGTCTTTTTTTAACCTTAAACCACATAAACACATTTCATTACACCAAATACACAAAATAATGTTCTTTTTAGCAGCATCATATGACCCCTTTAATGCAAGATAGATGAGTAGTCCTTGAGTGGGCGGGGCTAGTGTAAAAATGGATTAGTCGTCCTGAGTGGGCGGAGTCAGTTTACATGTCCTTTGAGGAAATGTAAACATTCCAGGGAAAAGCCTTAAAGGGACAGTCTTTTGAAAACTTGCTAATTTGTTGCAAACTCGATTGACTTTCTTTTTATTCCGTGGGACGCAGCATAACATTTTTAAGTTGCCCTCTTTTTAGTATACTGTTAAAGTGATTGATCAATGAAAGCCTAATTTTGCTTAAACATTTGGTATCAATAAAGAGATATGAGAGAATTGTAACTTTAAAAATCTTACTTCGCTTCATTAACATAATCATAATACAAAGCTTTTTTAGAGGTAATGTTTGCTTGTTATTCGACTAAAATGCCTTCTGCATTCAAGTTAGCATATTAAATATTAGAAAGCATTTTTACTCGTTCTTTTTTATTACATACTTTACATATTTTATTCATACTTTAATGTTTCAAATAGTTTTTGTGAAAATAAAATGTCAAAATATGGGTGAAATAATGTTCCATCGTCATTCAGATATATTCATGTAAAAAAATAAAACAACACGTATTCTGACCTTAACAAAATTTATAAAAGAGTAAGTGATCATTCTAAATTTTGTTATATTTGAGTTGATTAAACATTATTGTTGACAAATGGGTAAATAGTTGCTTGAATGATCGTGGCAAAGATCCTTAAATCTTCTTTTAATGTCATCTAATGATTCTTGTTCTAAATATGTCTGACACGATTTTTTTGGCATATGAACTATTGTTACAATGAAGGACTAGAATCGGTGATTGCGAGCCGCCAATAAAAAACGAGTAAGAAGAAAAAGGAGGACTAGAATTTAACAATCTAAATGTAATAATAATATTAAATTTAGCTTGTGTTATATTCTAGTCATTCAATAAATTTAATATATTATTATTATTATTATTACAAATAATAATTCACATAGAAGCTACATTCAGGTTAAAATTGTGAAATTGTTGCGAAATAGTAACTTTAAAACTCTAAAAGTAACTTTTAAAAATGAAAAGAATAAAAGAAGAGTACCGTAATAAGTCTATTCAAGTAAAACATATATTTTTAGAAACAACCAGTCCAAAAAGAAAGTTCCTCTGTGTGTGTATATGTATATGTATATGTATATATATATATATATATAAAAATATAAAATATGTAAATGAATATGTAAATTATGATATTTAACCACAGGGGAGGTTAAAGTGGGGGCTGGAGTGTCAAAACTAACAAACAGGCTGTTACTCGGTGGGGGAAGGGAAGCTGGCCAACGCCGAACACACTTCGCAAACACTTTGATAGTGCAAGACAAAAAAAGGAAACTCTTTGAATCCAGCGACATCGAAACATTAGTCGTCAGGAGTGCGGAGGTGAGTTTATATGCGAGGGTTATCAGTTGAATCAGTGAAACAGCTGCAGCGGTTTGTGATCTGTTAGCCAACTTGACATGAGCAAAACCTGTTGTTGTAACGTTAAGTATTTGGTCGCGTAGCAAAAGCTTACTTAACAGCTTAAAGCTTACCTTAAACTCACCTAACAATTATTTGTTTGTTTGTGCGAGAGCGAATAGCCGTTCGTTTTGAAGACGAGCATGCTAGCTGTGTAATTAGCAGGCTAATAGCGAGATACTCAAGGGAGTTGGAAAAGTAAACAGTGGTGAAAAAGTGACTAGTACGTTGTCTATTTGTTAATCTGTACTATATTGCTTTTTAGTTTACAGTGTGTGTGCGAAAATTCGTTGTCTACTAGATAGAAAACCATTATGCCCGCTGGTAAAACTACAGTTTGTCTTTGGAGAAGTATGTGATGTTAATACATTTGAAAGGATCTGATGTATTGTGAGCAGTCGCTGCAAATGATTAAAGATCGTAAAATCGTACACGACTTCAATCAACGCTGTGCTTATTCAGCTTTCTTTTATTTAAACACGTGTAAAATAAAACAGCGACGGCTTGGGAACGAATCTTCAGTTGTTAAACGAATCGTTTAAATCGGTTCACAAAACCGGTGCGTTCACACATCAGAAGTTATTTTGAAACGAACTGTTCAAACGAGCCGATTCGCGAAAACGAATCAGTTCGGGGTGTTCGTGGGCGTGGCTTACAGGAATCGACCAATAGCGTTTCAGTGGGCGTGTACGTAACCCGTTCTATTATTACTCAATGTGTTTTACGATGTCCAGCTTTCATTTAAACAGCTAGCGACGTTACGCACAAGATAAACAGAGAGGTGCTCATTATAAACCATTAACCAGGTAAGGAAGGCAAACGTATGGATATGTAGGCGACATATTACGATGAAATCTGCTTTTAGTCGGTGTTGCCATTGTTATTATATGATTGCTTAAACAAAGGACAGTGTAAATAGTGCAGGTTGCCGTGGAAACCTGATTATCTTAGTGCTCAGATCCACCTGCTACAAGTTCTAGTTGTAGTCAGTCTGTTTAATTGATAATGAAACAAACTCATTGTGATTTAAGAGGAGTGTAGGTGTACTTTACTTCTATTTCTTTGTCCTAAACGGTGACCCCATAATTAGGGACGTGTCACTGATGTTAGCTTAAAAGACTAGAGTATTTGTGTTGTGTGAAGATGTGATCTGGTTATTTATTACGGGAACTGTTAACACTTCTACCTCACAAGCACTTCTTTATCCCGTTGTGATTGTATTTTCCCCATAAGTTCATGACACTGTCAACCCTAACAGCCATGCCATATAAAGCACTTCAGTGCTTTTACTAACACTCCTCCCGTTTCCAAATAGTTTTAGATTCTGGAACCTAATTGAACAAATGGGGGGAAAAGTAATAATTTGTACTCCACAGCGTATTTTGTTCTTTTTCGCAAAAGACTGATCGATTTCATTTATTTAATTTTTATTATAAAAAAGCTGGTATATGAGGTGAAAAGATCACTCCATATATGAAGAGTGTTAAATAATCCTATTACAGCAGTAAATATGTATCATGCATTCAGTTCAAATCTATTGTTATGTAGTCACATTTGCTTCTGACCGCTTCTGAATGTTTGAATTATCCAATTACAAAGAAATTTGACCCTGGCTTTAATTGAATGTGATTGGGTCACCTGAGACAGATGTCAGTTCCAGGTGTGATTGAGAGAAGTTTCTGACCTTAGGAAATGAAATTCAGTCCACTTCCCCATTCCCTCTGTAAAGTACAAGTAAAGCCTCATCATTTAAAATACGGGACAAGTTACACTCCAAAGTTTAATACTTAAGCTTAGCAGTTTGTTCATATCGAGCCTAGAGCTTGAGCAGTAGTAATTATGATAAAGCATTCTGCATGCTTTCCTTTGTTTTGATCTCTATATGTTGATTGTGCAGTTCTCTGCTGTATTTGTTAAATACTTTTGATTCTTGGCTATATATATGTATATATGTGTGTATGTATGTGTGTTTTTCTCAATGTAGGAAACCATCAACTTGGGGATTTATCTCAAACGCAAAGCCCTTTAAGAACAGCATTTCTAGAAGTGCTTTCGGTAACACTTTACTTGAAGGGGTGTGCATAAGACTAACATGACACCTTCATAATCATGACATGACACATGAAGGAGGTGTTATGCATGTTTATGACAACTGTCATTAAGTGTCATTCGCTCAGTTATGTCATTTTTAATGCAAATATGACATTATTTGACCTAACCCTACCCCTACCCTTACCCCTAACCATAGCCCATAACAAAGACATCTCAAACAATGCCATCTTTGCATTAAAAATTACATAACTGAGCGAATGACACTTAATGACAGTTGTTATAAACATGCATAAAAAACCTTCATATTCATGACATGTCATGCCATGATTATGTAGGTGTCATGTCATGATAATGAAGGTGTCATGTCATGATTATGAAGGTGTCATGCCAGTCTTATGCACACCCCTTCAAGTAAAGTGTAACCGTGCTTTCCTAAAATTACCATCACACCTACCTTTTTTTTAAATTCAAACAGACTTCAGCGGATTTCAAAACGAATAGTTATTCTTATTTAATAATGTTGTTGTGATGCTTAAATTGACTCTAATGCTTTGAAATTATTATTTATTGGTTCATTTACCAAATTAAGGTGCATCATTTCCAGTTATTTTCATTATTTCCCAGGTATTATTTTTTAAATTATCTTTGGTACCATTAGTAGTGTTTGTCAAGGTGTTCTGTAATGGTCACTGTGTTGTAGCATGTTTTCTTGGTCTTTCCTGGCCAGCGTCTTCAGTGATCCTGTTGCTCTTGTTGGAGAGATACTGAGTGTCTTTATCTGAGCTGTTCTGTATCTGATCCAGCACAGGGCCTGTCACAGGGCAACACATGTGATCACAGAGGCTTACTGTACACTAGCCAGACAGTGAAGGTTTGTGTGCACATCCTTTTTGATAAGTATGTTCTGAAGAAACTTTGAGTTTTTAACATCAGAATGACGCACTTTCTCTTTCTCATCAGTAGGCTTGTCGCAATAATCAATATTTTGACTTCACGCGCAATATATGTACATGACCTCAATCATTTTTGGTGACGCAATATATCGCCCATTATATTTTCTTAAATGAATGTCACCATGTTTTGTACATTCCACTTGCGCCTGTGTCTTTTGCAGCTTATTGTACATAATGTGGTGTAGACTCATGAGGTGCTAGTTCAAATTTAAAAAATGCTTCTACAAAAAAAGTTTAATCTGTAGATATGGTCTTGTTTAGGGATCTTGTGCCTTTGAGCATACGGACATCTGACTGCTGAGTAGTGATTGTGTTTTTCAGCAATAGTGTGCACCCTTCATTTACAGAGAAAAGAAGGTCAGGGAAAAATATATAGATGGAAAAATCTCCATACAACTTCTTTGTTTTTATATAGGAAAAATATATAGATGGAAAAATCTCCATACAAGTTCATTTTTATTTTTTTTCAACTTTGCACTTTTTGTTAGAAAATGTTTATTTACTATTTATTCAGGTTTTTTAAGGTATCTAATATTTTGATACTTAATTTCCATGATTTAAATATTTTAAAAAAATAAGTTTGTTGTCATTTGAAAGTGTGTAGGCCTTCTTGCATTATTATGCTGTTACATTACGATTGTATATTCAGTGGCATAAAATGGTCTTAAAATGACAGTTATATCACTTATCGCAATTATTTCTGGGGCATTATATCGCACAACAAAAAGTTGTTATCGTGACAGGTCTTCTCATCAGCACTTGGGCCATCTTAAACCTGTTTGAAAGTTGATTTAAAGCTCCTGTTTGGCTTAAACATTGACTGAGAACACTGATATGTTGAAGCATTGTGTTGGAATTCGCTCTTTGTAGTGTTTATGTAATGATAAAGTCAACATGGAAGCAGTACTGACTAGGGCTGTGCGATTAATTGAAATCGAATCGAAATCGCGATTTGAGACGTTGCGATTTCCTAGTCGCAAAGCATGCGATATTACTCTGTTCCAGAACATATGCATGACTGCCAGCCTTGAGTTGCAATCTTACTTGCCCTGGGCAAGAGTGAGCGCACCTCCGTTCCCCCCAATCAGCACTGCTCTAGCCAACTGCGTAAACACCCCCCATTAAAAAAAAAAAACGGAACGCGGGACGGGAGAGAGATCGCGTGGGATTATGGCGTCTACTGGGTCAGATCGATAGTTAGGCAAATTAAAACTAAAGAAAACCATATGCAACTTAAGATTCGAAATGACAGACAACAAACAACAAAGGTAATTTGCAAGAGCTGCGTCACAGTGCATATCAAAAGCTCCCTTATCGGTTCTGTTTTCAGTACTGGAGAATAAAAGATACATTCTTAGATGTTTTTGTTAGTACGTGAACGTTATCTTACACATTTTATCTCCCCAGCAGATTCATTTGAAATAAGTTTATAATGCATGTTGGCTATTCCCAATTCAGAAGAGCGCACACACA